CTGAATTCTGAACTTCCTCTTCTAAAATTGGTACAATCAGGTTATCCTTCGACATCAAATTATATTTCATCACAAATTTAGTAAATCGATGACATAAAAATGTTTCATTTTCATACTCATCAAATATCTGCCGGTGATGAAAATAAGCATGTGAAAATATTCTGTAAATTCTACGGCATACTGATCCTAGTTTTGCTACAGATGATTCTTTTATGCTAACCCTGCTGGGAAAATATTTATTGCTATTCAGAAGACACGCAGCACCATCAAGTGTGTGTCTAGTATAGTCTATAGCAGGACACTCTTTTGGAGTTTTATGAGCTGCACAAAGAAAAATCCATTGTTCAGTTGCTGTCATTTGAGTACAAGTATCTGGGTGGCATTCACTCTGAAGTTTGACAGCAAGTCCATTTAGTTCAAGGCAGAATTGCCTTAAATGTTCATATTTCCACACACCTTCATCTTGGCCTTCAGGAGGTTCAAGAATTTTGTCAATATTGGAGCAATCTGCCCTTATGTTCTGTTGAATATACTGCTGAACAGCAAGTGTACTGTCCATCTCATCAAATGATTCATCAGGCCAATTATAGAAATCCTGCGCCTTTGTGCCCGGCCTGTTCCTCCTCAGAACTGCCGTCCCCTCCGCCATGACCATAGTGCCAGAGTCTGGGCGGCTCCCGAGTTTATAATTTAGAAATGTTATTTATGATGAGTATTAACACTTTTGAAAGATTAACTGTAACAAATGCATCTCGAACAATCTTGGTTTATAACCACATATTATGAATAAGAGATTTAAGATGTGAGCAGAGGGAAAAAAATAAAATTAACTTGGACTAAGAAAAAAGTTGTATATACTAGTCTGAGCCTTGAAGTGTGTAAGTTCAGAGTTCAGTATTTTCTACCTTCACCATACTCCAGTCACCACTGGGACCGGGGGCTCCTCTTTTACAGAGCTCAATGCAACATGATTTCTAAATCTGCTATACCAGCTACACTAGCTTCGAATCCTGTAGCCTACAGCTGGGAGAGAGGTGAGCTTGCTACTCTCTGCAGCTCAAAAGACACTTCATGACACATTTGTTTGTTTGTTTGGTGGTGCTGGGGATTACACCCAGGGCCTTGTGCAGGCTAGGCCAAAAAAAATTTCTTGAAGGCTCACTCAATGTGGCTTTTACTGAGGCTCACTGGCTGTAAGTAAATCATCACTATGTGATATATAGAGAAGAGTGAAGAGAAAATTGAGATGGAAGACATAGTGCTAGGCAAGAGTTCTACCTTGGAGTTACACCTCCAGATTCTCCAAAAGAATTTTTATGGCTTGCTGCATATAGGAAAAGGAAGGCAAATTGGCCCTTTTGCACTTGTAGTTCCTCAAGTGACTTCAGCTTGAAATAATCAGTATTACAATTTGACATACTTTGAGATGGCACATCCTCAACTTCTTCACTAGCATATGCCATGAACATCACACCACACCTGATGGACAAATGAATGAACTGGCTGGGAAGGACTCCATTCCCTGTACTGGTACTTACGTGATGTGCATGTGGCCAGAGAAGGGTTCCATCTGTCCTCTGCCTGGCACTGGCTCCAAGGACTGCCTTCCAGAATATATCCATCCTCACATTCCAAAGTTATATTATCTCCAAAGTGATATTCTCTCATTTTCAACTCCTGCTTAAGTCCATTCAACTGTGGAAGGCTGCATTTTACCTCTGAAAGGAGACAAATTGGGGATTGAGATTTTATTGTTGTTAACTGAAATCACTAGAATGAAACAATCATAACCCCAAACTTAACTTGCCCTCAACAAAGACGGGGCATGCTTTCAATCAAGAACTATTGACCCTTCCCCACCCCAAACATCTTGTGATTTAAGGTTCTCTTTTATTTTTCTTAAAATGAAAACACAGTAAAGGAATATGGAATACTTTTGAGTATTAACAACTTTGTGACCAGCGTGTTTGGGAAGGATCAGGAGTTAGGATAACATGATCTCTCGCCAGGAATCCATTTGGGTTCCACCATAAGGACACAGCAGCAGCATGTTAACTCTCTAGGTGTACAATACATACTGATATTTTTGCTCTGGGAGCATGTGTTTCAGGCCCATTTCTATACACAGAACAAAAGAAGCTAGCAATTCATGATTCTGAATTTAAAATATCATCTATTTCTTTTACTTTATCTCATTTAACTCATCCTTTGATTTGCTTTCTCTTTCTGCCATCAATAGGTCCTTCAACTTCAAGCAAAGACTCCTTTGCCATTGTGAGTCTCAAAATTAGCCCAATGTTTTTCCCATTACAAGTACCAACAAGGGCAAGTGGAATTTCCTCAAAAGTGGTCTGTGGTCTTCCTGCATCAGAAATTCTGATGGGTTTGTTAAAAGTAGACTTCTGACCCTTTCTCAAAACAGAATCAGAGGGCATAGGATGGAGCTGGAGAGTCTGCCCTTTGAACCAGGTTCTGGCTGATCTTGCCAGTGCTAAGAGTGGAGACACCCTGGTCTATGGTACACTTGAAGGGGAAAATTATTAAGGAAAAATGAATTTTATATAAATGGAAATAAAGCAGCTGCCATGAGCATAGAACACTAGCCTTTCATTGTCAAGAGCAGAACCATCCCACAGTCTTAACCTGTGTCTTCAAATATTTACTCATTTTCATGCTTTTTAAATAACTGAAGCAAGGGGGAAGAACTCATAGGTATGCGCAGAGCCACAAGGATTCTGTATTTTGTGCCATCTATTGTTGCCAGTAAGCACAAGAGAGTCACTTCCCATCTCTGTGGTGGGCTTCATTTTCTCTAAAATGAGAAGGCTGAGGGCTGGGAGCATGAGAAGGACTTCTGAGACTCTGAGAACAGGAAGGGCCCTGTGATCCCGTACCCAGGGCAGGTCCTAAGGTGGGCTTTTCCCTAACATCTGAAATTGAGGCGTGTCTGAAGTCCCTCCTACATTATCCCTGCCCTGAGCCTAGTATTTCTAAAAAGAAAGAACAGACAAGAAAGGAAGCAAGTAGCCAAAGCACTTAACTTACACTTTTGTAAAGTCAAAAGAATAGCATTTGAAAAGAGACAGTATACAGCGCAGTGTTTAAAAGTAGGGCCTGAGCAGGGGTCCAATCCTGAGACGACCATTCATGGACTGCCTAACACGGACTAGTTAGTGCCCCTCTCTGGCCTTCCTCCTCTAAAACATGGCAAGTGACAATCCTGCTTTATCGGACTCTTTTGGAGTCCAATAACAAAAACCCTCAGAACCCTGTCTAATTATAGAATATTATTTAAGTTTCCTATTTGGAGCTTTATAGAACATTACCAAGAAAGATTTTTAAATGGAGTGTTGATTTTTTTTTTAAGTGAAAGATTGAACCCAGGGGTGCTTTAACTACTGACCCACATCCCCAGTCTTTTTTATATTTTATTTAGAGACAGGATCTTTCTAAGTTGCTTAGGGCCTCGCTAAGTTGTTGAGGCTGGCTTTGAATTTGCCATCCTCCTGCCTCAGCTTCCCAAGCTGCTGGGAACCACCAGTGTGCACCACCATGCCGGGCTCAGGTATTGCTTTTGCAGATAAGCTGGAATAAAGGAAATAGTTTGAAGGACTGGCTCCAGGGAGCAAATAAAATAAATCTTTGTTTTTTTTTCTAGTATCAGGAGGCTCCATATTCAGTAATTTTAGGAAGTAATTGTTCTCAACCTCTCTGTTCATGTGAGATGGACAAGGTACTTCTTAACTGTCTCCCTTTTGGTTCAGTTTTCCTCATGGCAAAGGACGCTTCTAGTCTCTAACTTATCTTCTAAGGGTATTTGTGAGGACTATCTGTGACCTCTGAGATCCTCTAGAGCAATTAGTTAAAAATCAGCAAAGCATTTGAAATTGGTGATGCCTATCCCATATCTGGAAATTTCACCCACTATCCTCACTTTCAGAGCAGAGCTAAGGATCCTTGGGAAGCCTTCCTTCCTACCTTCTGTTCTGCTTTTCTCCTCCCCTATTGACACTCACGTCACCACTCTCCCAACCTTAAATGACAATAATCTCAATGATCTTTCAGCCTGATTAACCTCATGCATCTATTTCCCATAACAACCCAGAAAGAATGAGAAATATCAAGAATTGAGATACCTTTGCAATAATGATTAGACTGGCTCCAGGTTCCCTTGTGTGTACAGAAAATGAAGGTAGCTCCCACCAACAAGTAGCCGGGGTTACACGTATAGTTGATCATCATCCCAGGAAGATATGAAGAAGCATGTCCTCCAATGTGATGACCGTTCTGGATCTTAGGTGGATGTGGGCATGCTGAGAACGAGTTCCCACACAGAGAAAAGAAAAGGCAGCCAGTTAAATGCAGAAGTGTGAACACACCAATATGAATATCTCTGGCTTAGAGGCACCGGAAGACCTAAGACAGGCAGGTGGTCATAAGCCACTCACAGCTAGCTCATCAGGAGAAGGCTAATTCTTTAGAGTAGATGACTGCATTTGAACACAATCCTCTGCAAACTTTTTCAGAAGTACTATAAGTATCCACAAACTATCAGTTCAATGCTGTTCTGTCCTTACTGGAGGTAGAGACTTTGTGTGGGCAATCACAGCCACAAAGGAACCAAGATTACCTGGTACAGTTATTTAAAGTCAAATGGTCATATAAAAGGAAAAAGCTACATAGACTAAAAGCACAACCTTAACCTCCACATCTCCAGGGCATCCTGAGAGACTTTTTTTTTTTTTTTGGTACTGGGGATTGAACTCAGGAGTGCTTAATCATTGAGCCACATGCCTAGTCCTTTTTATTATTATTATTATTATTATTATTATTATTATTTTTAATTTTGAGACAGGGCCTTGCTAAACTGCTGAGGCTGGCTTTGAACTTTCAGTCCTTTTGCCTCAGGCTCTTGAACTTCTGGGATTAGAGGCATGTGCCACCACGCCCAGCCTGAGCTACCTTTGTTAATGGTGAGGTGGAGGATCATCCAAATGCAGGCAGCGGCTTGAACAAAACATTGCCAGTAACAAAAAGCATGTAAATACTGACATCTGAGTTTTTAAAATTTCTTCTGTAGCATTACCAGCCCCATGGTAAATTATGCCATTGACATGTGGTTTTTGCTCAGGGCTCCCGTCTGTTCAGTGTAAAGACCACTGGCAGTAGAGATTTCCTTCCACATTGGTTTTCAGGGATTTGAAAACATTTTCAACAGAAATGGGACCTCACGGACTCTCTCCACCCCTCTTCCTGCTCTCATCCCATTCTTACCCTACAGGAAGAGCCGCCAGAATTCTACCTACTTGGCCTTACAACAAGTTGGCTTTTTATTTTTATTTTTTTTAGAAGGCATCTCACTATGTTGCCCAGGCTGGTCTTGAACTCCTGGGCTCAAGTAGTCCTCCGGTCTCAGCCTCTCAAATATCTGAGACTATACACAGGTAGGAACATACCACTGACCCAGGAACCCAGCCGCTCTAAATGTTATTCACCTGAGAGGTATTACTGTCTCTGCCATTCATAACAAAGTCATGTACACAAGCAAAATTGACTGTTGCTACAGAAATGTGGAAAGTCTCGCTTAGATTGTCAACCCATTCAGATATGTGGAAGTGGATACTGACCAGAAGTAATAGAAGGCACACAGCGAGGGGCAGGGCTGCTCCAAATCCCATTGCCTTGATTGTCACTTGTGCAGCGGATGATGCTCTCCCCAATGAGGTCGAAGGTCATCCTTCTGTCTGGGTGGGAGTCACATGTGTAAGATATTTCTCTTCCATATGGAATATCTTGCAAAGCAGTTCCCGTGTGCCTCCCATTAAGGATGGCTGGAGGACTTGGACAAAATATTTCTAGAAAGAAGACAAGAGTTTTAAGTTCTACTAGAACTTAAATAGAGTGTCAATAAAGATGAGAAATACTGGTGCCCTGTGACTATTATTAATAGTTTTTTTTTTTTCTTTTAGAAAGAACACATCTAAGGTGGATGAAATTGAATCTGAGACTTTTTAAAAAAATATTTATTTTTTAGTTGTAGTTGGAAACAATACCTTTATTTATTTTATTTTTATGTGATGCTGAGGGTCGAACCCAGGCCCTCACCCGTGCTAAGTGAGGGCACTACCACTGAGCCACAACCCCAGCCCCCTGAATCTGAGACTTTTGCTGAGAATGAACTGAGGTAAAACCTAATCGTTTTTTTGCAAAAGCCCCAAAGTTGTTTTTATTTTTGTTTTTTGTTTTTGTTTTAAACACAAGCCTGGATCCCTTAAGTAGCTAAGTTTTTAATGAATTCAGAAAATAACTAATTTTTTAGGCAACCATTTGATTACCTATTTTAAATCAGAGACCTTAAGTTCCAGGGAAGTTTTTGTGAAGTTCATGAGGCATATATTATCATCTTTAGTAGATATAAATCTCTCTTGGTGACTCAAGACCATTATCATCAGAACCAATACCAAATATGGAATGGTGTCACCAGAAAATATTGGTAATTATAGATTACCAAAGGCACTCCACCACTGAGTCACATTCCCAGCCCTATTTTTTTTTTAAAGAGAGACAGAGAGAGAGAGAGAGAGAGAGAGAGAGAGAGAGAGAGAGAGAGAATTGTTTAATATTTATTTTTTAGTTTTCGGTGGACACAACATCTTTCTTTTATTTTTATGTGGTGCTGAGGATCTAACCCAGTGCCCCTCGCATGAAGCGCGCTACCACTTGAGCCACATCCCCAGCACCCCCAGCTTATTTTGTATAGGGCTGGGGGGCGGGTCTCACTGAATTGCTTAGCACCTTGCTTTTTGCTGAGGCAGGCTTTGAACTCGTGATCCTCTTGTTTCAGCCCCGAACCACTGGGATTACAGGCCTGTGCCACCGCGTGCAAACCACCTTTTGGTTTTATCTTAAAAATTATCTGTAGTCATTTCTTCCTGGTTTTAGTGTATGTGTTTGAAACAGTTCTCTTCTGGAAATTAACTTGATGCTTCTAATCTGAGGTGAATTTAGGAATTCAAGTTTATCAGAATTGTGCATAAATAAAATAAAGATCTTAGGTACATCAAAGATGGATTTCTCATATCTGAGTTGTGTCCATCTATGTTTTTCCAAAATTTACTTATATAACTACTTTCAGTTTTATGTGTCTCTGAAAGATTGAGTTTGTTGGCTATCTGAGTTCCCTATGTATTGAATGTTCTTATAAAGTTTCACTATAATGTTCACTATATAACATATCCAAATACATCATTTTTACCAAGATATTTTAACAAAATCCATATTTAAATAAACATTTTCCAATCAACAAGAAAAAAATAAAAAAAAAATCTTTCCTTGTTCTAGGACACAGGGTAGGATACATTGGTAATGTCTTGTATATAAGACATGAACTTTTCTGTTTATCAATTTCTGAATCTTTATCATGTTTTCTTTTAGTATGTGGTTTAGAAATGTGGGGTACCTCATCATTTCAAATACTGGCTCACAACTCTAGCTCCCATGATAATTTATCATATTAACTCTTTTATTTTCTCTATGTCTCATCACTATTGAACATACCATTTTATATATTCTAATATTTAAAAAAAATTTACTTATTTATTTTCCTGTCTATTGTCTCTTTCCCATTAGAAAATAAATGTCATAAAAGCAGAGATGAGTCTTTTTGTGTTTATTATTCTTTCCACACATAGAAAGAACTGATGCATGGGTAGTCCTCAGTCAGTGAATACCACAGGTGACCAGGTTGAATAAATGCCAAGGTACATGAAGAGATAAAAGTCCATAAGAGAGATTACTCCTTAACTACACAACTAATAAATAAATGAACAAATAAAATCTGGTTTACCTTTATGTCCTCGAGTTTCTCCTTGCATTTTTTGCACAAATTCAACATTATCCTCAAACTATGTATTTATAGATTAGTGACATAAACACATGATCTATAAAACCTATAAGACCTCTCTTGAAATTTTTCCGATAAAGAAGTATTTTTTTTTAATCAATAGTTTAAAGATCCAGAATATAGGTGATTTCATGAGGTGAAACAAACTGGAAAAAAAAATTAGGAGAGTTATCCAAGGTGCATAGTTATTCTTTCTACTCACGTTCACACACAGGAGCACTGCTATTCCAAATGCTTTTCATTTCAGCCATGACACAATGACTAGCAGAGTTGCCTTTTAATCGAAACCTTAAGAAAATAAATAAATAAATAAATAAATAAATAAAGCGAGTGAGCCATTTTCATCTCACCCTGTATCTTTTCAGTAATAGATGCTCGGCTTCCTCACTTTAGCCTAAAGAGGATTTGGTTCTTAGGTTCAGGCCCAGCTAAAATTCTCAGTTCCTTAGAATCTGTATTCAGTAGCTGGCAGACACTCAGAAGCCAAAATTTCTAAAGAATCTCAGTACTCTGGGACTGGCAAAGTGATCCGAGTTGGTGTCTTAATTGCCATACAGTCTCCATGGCCCACCATCGTCTAGGGGCATAGGACCAGGTTTTCCCCAGGTGCCCAAGACTCATAACATTCAGAGACTACCTCTCACTGATGGCCTGCTGAATCCCGCTAATTTTCATTATAGGGTTAGGAGGAACAACAGCAAAGCAGAGAACATGTGTAAAGAGGGTAAGGCTKTGTTCTTCTAGGCATTATAAATGTAATGGGCCAGAAGGAGGCTCATGGGAACACACGGAACCAAATGACCTAGGAAAAGAAGCATGAGAGGAGGAGAAGTCTCTGCCACCCTGAAATGTTATTGTTGGATCCTGTGGTTTTTCTGAAATCTGCTGAAATCTAAAATCATTCTGAAATCAGAAATCATTATTGGGTGGTGGWCTTTATAAATGCCAAAGATTTCTTGGAAATTATTAAAATTTACCTCTTGATTGCCGAATCTGAGTCTCACAGACTGACAGTGCATACCACCAACAGGAGTAGATTCACATAAACATTTATATGATTTATAAATTGACCGTTAAGATCCCGCTATCAAAGCCACCACTGATATGAAGACATATGATTGAAAACACACGCATCCATACACTATTATGAATTCTACTATGGACTGATTTTAACTGTCTTAAACTTTATCTGACTTATCAGTTGGCAATTTTTGTTTTATTCATCAAACATTTTTTTCTAGCAAACTCTCCATAACATTGCTTTTCTGCCTCCAAATAACTATTTATCCATTCACTTTAAATTCCACCCCAGTACTCAAGATCAGCAATTGTATCTGTGTTTGTGCTTAACATTGAATTACATGTGTTATTTTTTTCTTGTCTCCTTATAGAGATGCCACCGACTCTCTGCCCTGATTTCAAAACTATCCTTCTAGAAGTTATCTACTTGGATACTTCTTTTCTACTAGGTCAGCCGCCTCTTTCTTGTATTAACCCTGGAATTCAAGTTAGCCCTCATTGTCTGGTTTCTATGATGAGTCATACTCACCCTTCATCACAAATGAAGGTCACTTTTGCCCCAGGCTGTAAAGTAAGTGGCAATAGCACACGACCATTAGGGATATGGCCTGGGAATGTATCACATAATTTCACTAGGAGAAAAAGAAGAAGAAGAAGAAGTTAAGACTGTGTGTGAGGGGCAAAGAGAATGATCTGAAAGCCCAATGAGTCTATTCACCTGTACACGTGGGGGCAGCCGGACTCCAGACTCCCTGGGGTGTGCAGCGCAGAGAAGCAGCCCCTCTGAGGTCATACCCTGCCTCACAGCTGTAGAACACTTCCTGTCCAGGGGAAAAGTTATCCTCGTTGCTTGGGGTATGCACACCATGCAGGATTTCTGGGGGTGGCTGACACCCTATGTGGAAAGAATAAGTCCAAATTCCATGTTTGTTTTGGAGAAATGCTGTGCTAACCCCTAACCTTTCAAGGAGTTAGGAAATAGTATTTAAAGGCTTCGATAATTTGGATGTGGAATGTCTCCCAAAGGGCCATCTGTTAAAGGCTTGGTCCCCAGCCAGGGGTAAGACTGGGAGGTAGAGGAACCTTTAAGAGTTTGGGCCTGGGCTGGGGCTGTAGCTCAGTGGCAGAGCACTTGCCAAGCAAGTGAGGTACTGGGTTGGATCCTTAGCACCACATAAAAATAAACAAATAAAATAAAGGCATTCTGTCCATCTACAACTACAAAAAAAATCTAAAAACTAAAAAAATAATAACATGACCTGAGTCCAGCATCTGAAGTCTTTGTGGATGGGGTTCCAGATCAGTTTAAAAAAAAAAAAAAAAGAGCTGAGGCCTGGTGGGAAGTTTTAGGGCATCCTTCAAAGGGGATGTGGGACCCTGGTCTTTCTCTTCTTCTCTTTCATGTCCCAACATGAAGTGAAGTGAACAATATGCTTCACTATCTGCTCTCCACCAGGATGTACTGCCCCAAAGCAATAGGGAAAACCAACCATGGAGTGAGACCTTCTATAGTGTGAGACAAAACAATCATTTTTCTTTCTCTACAAGTTGACTTATGTCAGTATTTGTTATAGTAACAGAAAGCTGACTAATACAGATGGGTTCAAGTATTACAGAGAAGGTCAAATGATATGCCACCCCCTCATTTTACTGAGATAGCAGTTTAACGAAGAGACGTAACAAGGCCTTATAGCTAGTAAGAGGTAGAGAAATAAAACCCAGTTTTCCAGAATGAGGTCTTAATTCACTCGTAAGTCTCTAAGTCTGAGGTTCCTTCTCCTAGCTCTGACTATCCAGTACAKAATTATGAGTCCTGGTGGATTCTCCACCTGCATATGTCCTAGGAAGGCAATCCTGATTTTCAGACTTATGGCTCAGGTTATGAGAAGGTCGCCTAGACCCGAGCCTATTTAACAGATTTCCCTTCCTCCTTACAGCACACTGTGACTAATGTGCAGTCCTCTGGGCATGCTTATATTTCTCTGTCCTCTAAGCTGCTCTCTTAGTGACTGCACACATGGTTTGGTGGAAGAATTCTCAGACCCCTCCCTATCCCTAAGTATTAGCCATAACACCTCCCAGTTCACTGCTAAGCAACTATTGAGACCGAAGAACATAAGGGTACCCATCAAGAAAAGAAATCCCCCAATAAGCCAGTCCTTGTAATAAGAGGACATATTATTTAGAGACTTAGAGTGTACCTTGACTAATGGCCCTTGTGGGTGCCTAGGGCCTCAGAACACATCTTTCTTACTTTCTTTTTTTTTTTTTTTGGTACTGGGGATTGAACCCAGAGGTGCTTAACCACTGAGCCACATTCCCAGCCCTTTTTAATATATGTTTTTGTTGTTGTTGTTGTTTGTTTGTTTTTTTTTTTTTTGACAGTATCTCCCTGAGTTGCTTAGGGCCTTGCTAAGTTGCTGAGGCTGGCTTTGAACTCTTGAAGCCTCCTGTCTCAGTTTCCCAAGCTGCTGGGATTACAAGCATGAGCCACCAAGCCCAGCTCAGAACACTGTAACATTTTAACACTCTAACGTTTTAACATTTTTAACACTTTAACATTTTAACACTTTGACAGCCTCAGAACATTTTAACATCAACTAATCTATGTCTATGAGTGGAAAACCTGTTGGACTTTGAGCAAGTTATTTTGCTCTTCACTTCAGATTCCTAAGGGAAAAATGTTGGAAGTGGACCATTATAGACAAACTCTAAGGTGTCTGCCATGATTCTGATGCTGTATCTGTTTTCATAAGCCAGTCTCTTTCTCTCACTGATAGATGAAGACAGACGCAGGGCAAGAACCAGAGCAGTCACACCCTGGTGTCTGACACAATTGCTTTTTAAAAATTCTGAGTGTGTCACTTAGTGGCATGTGATTTGGACAATTCATTTAGCCTCCAAAAGACCAAACTAGCTTCACTATAGAATGAGTATGCGAATAGCACTCTTTCCAAGTGTTGTTCTAAGAGGCAAAGTGAGAGGATGCCTATGAGGTGTCACATGGCCTGCATGGAGAAGATCCATAACATTTGTTAATATGATTGAAAGAGATTGCAGTTGGGACTGTGCCCAAGAACTGTCAACAGGGGAGTGCCAGAGATCTCCTTTCTTGGCTAATTAAGCTTTTGCTTCTCAAAATGAAGGGGAATATACACAAGCACACATGCATACACATGTACTAATGGACAGACATGCACCCCTTAATTTCATGCTCCTTCCCCCCATATTTACTCTTCAACCTGCTTACCACACATCCCTCCTCCAGAGCACACATTAATCTCCCAGTCCACCAACAACTCATGCCCTTGAGGTCCCTCCCAAGCTCAGCCAGACTCACCCCTGGAGCAGCTTGGTAACTCTGGCTCCCATTTGTTTTGGGGCCGGCACTGCACCTGGGTGGGTCCTTTCATGACAAAGCCAGRCTGACATCCAAACTCCACCATTTCATTTAAGGAAAATAAGCTTCTGTTTTCAGTTAGCATTATGGCATTTTCAACGTGTGGAGGGGTGCATTTATTAGGCACGATGCACTGTGGGGGAGGGCCGCTCCAGACGCCAACTTGATTGTCATGGCTGGTGCAGTATATGGAGGGCTCTCCCAGGAGGTGAAAGAGTTTTCTCCCTCTGTCTGCACCGTTGCAGCGATAGGTTACTACCATTCCATAGAGGAAATCTTCTCCATTGGTGTTAATGAAATCTCCATTGGCAATGGCTGGAGGTGGCTCACAAGGAATCCCTGGGAAAAGAACAAATTCAGCAAAATATTGATTTCTTAAAGTTATATTTAACTATAAATTTTGACAATCAGTTAAAAACATCTCCAAATTGCTGAAAAGTATGCATTTATAATACTGTTCTCACATCTTTGCTAATATAGGGACRTGATTTTTTTGCACAGTTGCAGATTAGGTGACCCACAGTATTATGGGTTGTGCTTTTCCTAGTTACCACTACTTCAAAAAATGTGTTCATATATATTATTATATCCCACATATTTGTTTCTCATTTTAAATGAGGATTTAACTTTCACCATTGTGAATTTCTTTCTTTCTCTGTAGAAGGCATTTGGTTTGATTGCATTGTTTACTAATATGTAAAGTATTTCGTCAAATACCTTTATCAAATGTTCTAATTGCTGATTCACATGTCATCAGAACTGAATACTGTGTCTTGCTATATGTAAATTTGTAAATGAACATATTAGGAATAAAGATATATTTTGCCAATGTTGACTCAATACAGAAGAAATGGGAAAGTGTATTACAATGCTACTCCTTAAAAAATATGAAGCACAGCTAATTTTATGGACAAATTTAATTCTCAAGTAATAGCTGACTCCTAGGCATTTTAAGTCATCCTAGAATACATAAGATATTTTTATTACTTATTGTCAGATAAACCTCATATTGGGAACTTATTTCTGTAAATCTTTAAGAATATATTCAAGAAGGAGAAATTTATTGGATAAATCATATGAAATATAGTTAAAATCATCTTTAAAGTCATTTTCTAGAAAATACAGCTAGCTAATGTGTAACCTTTCATGTATACTCCCATACAGATGCCCCCCTCACAAAGCATATTTTTAAAAAATATCTTTGCTGGATAAAAAATATGCCAGTATAAGGATGTGTTATACGATTCCATTTCAAAGAGTTGTTTCTATTGACTCCATAACTCATAATGGTGTATTTTAAGCATTTTTTAAATTTTTATAGTAGAACACATGTGAACACTAATTCCAGAAAATTCTCAACATTTAGATGACTTTCCCACCATTGTTTAATCGCAAAGAGTAATGTTGATAATATTTACATAGCAATATCCTTGCAAACCCCTGTGCACTTTTTTTTTAAAGAATTAATCACAAACGGTAGAATACTGGATTAAAAGATGCATGCTACATCAATGTTATAGCAGTTCAACTCACAATAGCTAAATTATGGAACCATATTAGGTACCCTTCAACAAATGAGTGGATAAAGAAACTGTGATATATACACACAATGAAGTATTACTCAGCCTTAAAGAAGAAATTATGACATTTGCTGTTAAATGGATGGAGCTGGAGAATATCATGGTAAGTGAAATAAGCCAATCCCAAAAAACCAAAGGCTGAATGTTTTCTCTGATATGACGGGGGAGTGGCTGGCTAGGGAAGAATAGAGGTACTTTAGATTAGGTAGAGGGGAGTGAAGGGAGAGGAGGGAGTATAGGGGTATGAAGGATAGTAGAATGAATCAGATATTATTACCTTCTGTGCATATATGACTACATGACCAGTGTGATTCTACATCATGTACAACCAGAAGAATGAGAAATTATGCTCCATTTATTTATGATGTAAAAAAAAGTACTTAAATTTTAAACGCTGGGGAAAAAAGATGCATGCAGTGAAGAGTTTTGATGAATATCCATCCTATACTGGCCTTCTACAGAGTGTGTTCCACTTATTCTCCTACCAATTGGACTGACGCCCCCACGATATCACCAAACCCAAGATTATATTCTTTTATGCTCTTTGTTAAATTGCAATTGCTCGTTCCTCTATGCTCTTCAAAGTGGGAAGCTCATCTTCCAAACAGCTCACAGGGAAGATGGCACATCACCTTTCAGACAAGGGATAAGGAGAAAGCTAAGCTGCTCGGCTTCAATAGATGCTGTGATCTGAAGAGCTGACAGAGAGGAAGTAACTAACTTTGTTTTTGTTTACTTCATTAAAGAGAATGCTCTTCAAAGTAGGAAGTGTTTCATCAACCAAAGAGGAATTTGGGCTGTTCAAAATGAGCAGAGGACTATGCAATGGACCCTCCATAGCCACCAGTTCTGAATCCACAGTTTGAACCAATGGGGGATTTAAAATATTTGAACTATTTGAGAAATCTGAACAGGTACAGACATTTCTTCCCTTGTCATTATTCCCTAAACAATACAAGATAAAAAGTATTAACATAGCATTTACATTATATTAGATATTATAAGTAATCTAGAGCTGATTTAAAGTATATGAGAGGATACCTGCAGGTTATATGTAAACACTGTGCCATTTCATAGAGAGGATTTGAGCATCCATGGATTTTTTTTACCTGCAGAYGGTCCTGGAACCAATCTTCTGCAGATACTTAGGGAGAACTTTAGTTTAAAACAAGTTATACACAAAAATAAACAAAATTCAGGTGGGTGTAGATGTTTGGAACACTGTGAACAGTTTTAAGGATGTAACTATATTCTTCAAATATTGGAAAGAAATGATTTCCAAGAGGGATGAGATTTATTCTTTGTAATTCGGAGGGAGAGGGCAACTCTAGGAATAACTGGTGGGATAAATGGACAAGCAGATTTTAACTCACGTTCACAAATTGGTGGCTCTGTGTTCCAATTGACAATATTGCCTGAGATGATACATTCAGCAGACGAGTGACCAATGAGTCGGTACCTTATGGCAAAAGAGAAAAAAAAATCATAGTGTGCACACCCCATCAGGCCCCTTACAGCATGTCTGTGTGGCAATTTGGGGAGTCTAAAGGCCATCCTTACCTAGCTATTGTATCCAGCATTTCTTAATTCTCTTTCCCATCCTCTCACCATCAAAATGGATACTTCTTWAACTCCTAGTGGACAACTCTGCTTCTTAATTTCTTGGCCTTACTGTGGATTATACTAGGCACAGTGCTGACCATGAAAATCTGATTCCGGCTCCGTGGCCTTGTCCTTCGCCCTGTAGTATATGAATGTGCTCTCTGGATCAGGGTTGTTGGTATGCTTAATTTTTTWAAAAAATTTTATTAGGGCAGATTGAGCCCAGGGGTACTCTACCATTGACCTTATCCCCAGACCTTTTTATGTTTTGAGACAGGGTCTCGCTACGTTGCCCAAGTTGACCTGGAACTTGTGATCCTCCTGCCTCAGCCTCCCAAGTCTCTGTGATTTGCAGGCATGAATCACTGCACCTGGCTTTATTATGCTTTGACTGCAAGCTCCCTCCCAGTGAATGCCTCACTTTTCTTATCTACACTGCCCTGGTTTCAGCAAGGACACACATTTCCCCTTAATCTTGTCAGACCGTTGTTCATTTCAATCGGGAGTTAAATATCCGAGTTTATACCTTTTAATACCAGGCAGTGATAGGCTAGTTGCCCTTTCTGAGATGTGCCATGAAGGTAGCACTGCTGTTCCAGAACTCTTGGGCTAAGAGATATTGCTGCCAACTCACCCTTTATTGCACGTATAATTAATTCTGGATCCAATCTGGGTGTCTGAGTCTCCATGCACCAAGCCGTTGGTAGGATCTGGGGGAGTTTTACATGATTTTCCTATAGGAAGGAAACAGTTTTGGAGCTAGAATCATCTGAACTTTCTTAGCCCATAAAGTCCCAACCTGACTGCAGTTAGGCAGTTGAGAGGGACAGCTTTTGTTACTTTAAGGAAACTCACAAACTGTCTTTTATCATCAGCCATCTAAGTACCACTTTCAAATAGAAGTCCCCTTCCAGATTCGTTTTATCTCTGCCTAGTATTCTTCACCAAATATGAAGGTCATTCATACAAGTATATTTTGAATTTCTCAAAGGATTTGTTCCCACCAAGAAATTCAAAGAGACTTTATATCTCCCTACACAATTTTTTTTTCCTGGTCTAGAATCACTCATTTTTTACTTTCCCATAGGAAATGGACATCTCCACAAACATTCCTTTCACATTCTTGTGAAATGARCATTTCAACCAATAATCACAGATGATGGACAAGACCAACTTTTATTCCCACCCACCCAAACATTTTTTGAAAAAAGGTTTTTTCTCATGTCCAGAATTTGAAAACATTAAATCAGMTCCTATGGATGCTTTTTCAGACACCAAAAAGCTCCAATGCTGAGTTACTCACGTTTGCAGACATCTTTGGGACTGGACCAGACCAAGTTTTCTAGACACGTGATAGAGAACGACCTCCTGTAGTACCCAGGGCCACATTCAAACTCTAAGGACGCCCCAGTGGGAAACTCAGATTCTTTGGTTTGGGTTTTCAACTTAGCAAACTGAAAAGGACCTGGAGTTTTACAGTAACCTACAGAACAAGAAACCAGGAACATTTGAAGTAACAGAACATGCTTTTCCTTYGTGTCTCTCCCTTATTTGTTTTGATGCCAGAAGAAAATAAATTCTTTGGTTCTAGAAAAACAATTTCCTTCTGATATCGGGAGGGAATGTTTGATTCACAGAAGGCCACCAGAAAACATAAGATCTGAAAGGCTGGTCTGCTGTTTGATCTTTCTGCTTATATAACTTAATGCAAAGATCACTCCAATTTAATTTTTTTATAGTTTTTGAGAGCCTGAAAGATGCCTATGGTCAGGTTCACCTGTCCTGTCTGGTTTCCTTGTACTTCAAGGCATCAAAACTCCAATGGAGAGTTCATGAGCATGGGTGGTTCCAAACTCAGGAAGTTTGATGGCCCTGGGCTTCTCAGCCTTCAGTTTYCTATGTCTGATTTCTGAGCCAGCCATTTCAATAAGGAGGGAGCAAATAGCCTCTCCTTAAAACAAAACAAACTCCAACTCCCATTCCTCCTATACTCTTCAATATAAGAGAACTTTGCTCAAAGGAAATTTTGAATCTACCTCTAGCTTTAGTTCCATACTCCTATGATCCATTAAGCTCCAGGCTCAAGAAGTTAAAAACTCACTTTGGATTCAAATTATACAAAATCAGGAAAGTATATAGGCTTGGAAACAGAGAAGGTTTTGGCGACACCTTTTCTCTTAGCTTCTATTTCAGCTGTCTTTCTATCTCCCTTACAGTGATCTAGTCAAAGAAGGATTGTCATACCAGAGCTTATTCTGCAGGCAGGGAATTCTCTGCAAGTAGATTTATAAACTGATTTCTCATTTTTTAAAATATTTTTATTTTTTTAGTTGTAGGAGGACATGACATCTTTATTTTAKTTTTATGTGGTGCTGAGGATCAAACCCAGTGCCTCATGCATGCCAGGCAAGCGCTCTTCCTCTGAGCCACAACCCCAGCCCTGATTTCTCATTTCTTGATCATAATTAATTTTTCTCAATACAAAAAAATGTGCCTTAATTTGAAGACACAGTCAATATATTTCCAGATACATTTTCATGAGAAATGTATCAACCTGTTTTATCTGTTTCCTTTCCATCKGAGAGGGTGCATGTTCAATCTCCTGGCTTCTAGTTCATGAAGACCATGAACTAGACCCATCATGACCAAAACCCGTCATCTCAGGCTAATTCACACATGACGTTGGTCAGGCAGGCGTCTCCAGGCTCAATTCTAACTGGTAGAACTAGGATAACCAGAATAGGGTTCTGAGGGGTGAAAATGTCATAATGCTTAGAAGACTGCCTCTGTCCGCAGTTGACTGGGTAAGTCTGCATTAGGAATCCCCATTCATACACAGCCTCAAGGGTGCACTCCAAGTGAAAAGCATATTGTTGGAGGCAGGGAGGGAGGGGGGAAATGCTTCAGAGTGACTAGTGCTTGGTTCCTTTCCTTTTAGAGTTATTCCTCTCTCACACAATTCCCCAGGTATCAGTGTGTATTATACCAAGGTTAGGGTCCCTTTTTCAATTTGCTTCCTCCTTTCTATCCTCACCCTCTCAAAGGTGAATATCTTGGGGGGCTGTTTGTCTTCATCAACCTTCTCCAGAACTTAGAAATGAATAATCTCTTTATTCTGCATTTTCCCCTTTCTTTTTCTTTCCACCAAACTGAGAAGCTTGGATCTAAGAAGAAAATAAGTCTTATTTTAATTAGAATTTACTCAAGGAGCTGGACATGGTGGTGCACGTCTGTAATCCCAGAGGCTTGGAAGGCTGAGGCAGGAGGATCTTGAGTTTAAGACTAGCCTCAGCAACTGAGCAAGACACTGTTTCAAAAAAAAAAAGGCTGGGGATATGGTTCAGTGCTAAAGCACCTCTGGGTTAAATCTCTAGTACCAAAAACAAAACTCACAAAACAAAAAAAGAACTTAGCTCAAGGAGGCTAAAGGAATCTTTGCAGTGTGTCTACAATGCAGCCCACTTTTCAAGGAGAATATACAAGGGTCTCAGGCCAACTAGGTCATTAAAATAGATTTTTGCCTGGCTTTATTCTCTGCTGGCCTATCCTTTTGTCCAAAGCCTGTGAAGATGGTATGACTTACACTACTTAAGAGTCATAGAAATTTGCTTTCAATTTTTATGATTCGAACTTATGCTCCTTGTAATTCTAATCAAGGACCTTTCTACCCACTACCAATTTCCCTCTGGTAGCAAAGGCCACGAAAATCTTGACATATCTTAGAACATTCATTACTGGGTTGGCATTTAATTGTGTCAAGTGCACAAATAAATATCACACTGTAATGGCAGAAATTTGGAGGATCTGGTTTAGAGATTCAGAACCCATTTGGGATATGGAGAAACATACACTTACCCAGAAGTACACAGCGAGGGGCAGGGCCACTCCAAACGCCATGCCCTTGGTGGTCGCTCTTGCAGAGGATGGTGCTCTCCCCAAAGAGGCTGAAGGTGATCCCTCTGTCTGGTTGGGGATCACATGTGTAAATCACTGATGTTCCAAAAGGAAAGACTTCCAGAGAAGCWCCTGAGTGTCTCCCATTAAGGATAGTTGGAGGACTTGGACAAAAGATTTCTGGAAAGAAGGCAAGAACTTCAGTTTCTTTCAGGGATTTCGTCAGAGATATTCTACCATCGTAAGGTGCTATGATTGGTGCCACTTTTAAAAATGCTAAGATGAAGCTGGGTGCGGTGGTAYATGCCTGTAATCCCAAATAGCTCAGGAGGCTGAGACAGGAGGATTGTGAGTTCAAAGCCCAGTCTCAGCAATGGYGAGGCACTTAGCAATACAATGAGGCCCAGTCTCTAAGTAAAATACAAAATAGGGCTGGAGATGTGGCTCAGTGGTTGAATGCACCTGAGTTCCAATCCCCAGTACAAGAAAAAAAAAAAAAAGAATGAAAGAAAGAAAGCAAGCTAAGATGACAGTGTCTATCAGGCCCTTGATAGGACAGACTGTACAAAATGAGATCTCAAATTTTACTGAAAAAATACAAGAGACATTTGCTATCCTGTATTTTCCAGATAGTTGAGTTTTCTGGATAACAGAAACTACTTTGTGTCTTTAATTAAGTACTCAGAGTTTTAAAGAAAAAATATAACCAATTTGAAGGGTAACTCATTCATTTACTCAACAAATGTTAATTGAGCACTAATTSTGTGTCAACCAGTCATCGATGCCCTGGAGATCCAGTGGTAAAAAGCACAGAGCAGGTATTTGTCCTCCACGGAGCTTACATTGCTAGGAAATTCTTCTAACATGTATTCCATGTGTACTGCTCACCTTAAATACCTGAAACCTTCCTGGACAACTTACTGATATTGATCATCCATCTCAATTACGAGAGTAGTGCTGTCACCATGCATTGAAACATACACAAGTCACTGTAAAAAAAACTCTGAATGCACTCAGAGTTTTTAAAAAAATCTCTTGATGTGTTTGTGATATATGTTTTTTTTTCCTCTTTATTTTCTGTCAGGTTTCAAATTGTTGCTTCTTTCTGGTGTCTGCTTTTCAGTTCAGAACAGTCTCTGCCTCACTTCTAATTGGCATTTCTAACTAGTCTTGGAATTTGAATGAAGCTATTTCAAACAGTAATAGTGTTACATAAAAAGAAAGTCTGTGGTACCATCAAGAACAGTGTGCTCATGCATGACAGTAGGTCAGCCATTTGTCACTGGTTTCAAGAAACACTGGATTTCTTGGACAGCAGAGATTTATATTTATATAAGTTCTTATCAAGTTTTACTATCAAAACACCATAAGACATACAAGTAGATTCTTAGAACACCAAATTTCAGTAAAATATTATTGTTAAAAAGAAAATGGTACTGGCAATCTTTAGAATCAAGAAATGAAGCAAAATATAAATGGAGAAACTAGGAGAATTCAGTAGTATCTCTGCACACATAAGACTCAGTTTTTAATCGGCTTGTTATTTCTGAATCTCAGCATGTTCTGTGTGGATACAGAATTTTTTTTTTTTTTTTGGTAGTACTGACAATTGAACCCAGGGCCTTGTACATGTGAAACAAGCACTCTACTAACTAAGCTATATACCCAGCCCCYAGATACAGATTATGAGAGTTCAAGGAGTATCAAATTGCCTACCTTGTCTAATGTGTTCCCCCTCTCTCCCACATTACTGTGATCTATTATCTCCATAGCATTTAATTTATTTTTTGTTGGCCGCCTCCTCATTTGAGCGTAAGTAACACAGGGACAGGGAATTAGCTCATCTTGATCCCTGCTACAATTCCACCACCTATAAGGTCATCAGGCACATAGTATGTGCTCAATAAGTAATTGCTCAAATGAATGCCTGTATTTGTGTATCAGAAAATGAATAGGAAAACTATAAAGTGACTTTATCTTGATGGCAGAACAAAACAAGAAAAAAAAAACGATGGGAGGGGGCAGATAAGGAAGGAATGAAGTAGGAAAGAAAAAGAAAAAGTCTTGTCAAAAGTTCACATCATCTAATCTTTTCTGGTCTAATGGCAAACTACACACAAAATATCACACAGAACTTAGAATTCAAAATAACAGACTAATTTAGTGGCTCCAAAACCAAGAGATACACATAATGATTCAGAAGAAGATGCTATTAAAATAAGTATCTTGTATCAATTTCAGACCAGAAAGCAGACGAGCCATATCATGGGAGTCCTTGGGTCGAACTACAACACAAATCAAGGAGAGAGATTGGCTCAAAGTGTCACTCCTCATACTCACGTTCACATACAGGGGTACTGCTATTCCAAAGGCTTTTCATTCCAACCAAAACACAATGACTAGCAGAACTGCCCTTTAATTGAAACCTAAAGGAGAAAATGGGAGTGAATAGTGGATGTTTCTGACAACTGCCATTCAGTTCTTAATCTGAGGCCCAGCCTCCCGTCCCCGCCCACCCCCCCACCAAAAAAAAAAAAAAAAAAAATCAGAATTTTGAGAATCTAAAACCAATAGGTGGTAGAGGTGAGAGGTTAAGTCATTCTGGAAAAAAACAGTTTCTTGCAGGGAGCAACATAGAATGGTGAAGTCCAGCAACTTGGTCACATAATAGTCCTGGCTTGGAGTGAAGGAGGCAGTCATGATGCAGCTGCTATCTCCTGATCCCTGGACCCAAACTCAGAGCCTCRCTGATCATCCCATGATGAACCTAGCAGAACCCCTCACACTGCTGCAAACCAATCCCCACCCATCCCTTTTTTAAAAAAAAATTTTTTTTGATACAGGGATTGAACTCAGGGGCACTCGACCACTGAGCCACATCCCCAGCCCTATTTTGTATTTTCTTTAGAGACAGGGTCTCACTGAGTTGCTTTGCACCTCACCTTTGCTGAGACCGACTTTGAATTCAAGATCCTCCTGCCTCAGCCTCTCAAGCCACTGGGATTACATGCCTATGCCACCATGCCCCACCCAAACCAGCCTTTTTTTCTTTTTTTAAAAGAGAGAGAGAGAGAGAGAGAGAGAGAGAGAGAGAGAGAGAGAGTGTGTGTGTGAGAGAGAGAGAGAGAGAGAGATTTTTTTTTTTTAGTTTTTGGCGGACACAACATCTTTGTTGAGGATCGAACCCGGGCCGCACACATGCCAGGCGAGCGCGCTCACCGCTTGAGCCACATCCCCAGCCCCAAACAAACTAGACTTTTAATGCAACCTCTTCTCCACTCTGACCCTGGAACCCAAGCAAATCAGCTCCCAGTTTGGAATCCAAAAGCAGAGAATGGAAATTGTTCTGGTGTCTCTACACTTGTGACGGCTGTAAAGAAGCTCACAAGAGAAGGTCGGGCTATTGATGAGTAAGTCTGACTATTCGAAGGGAAAAAAGAAAAGAGAAGTCAACTTTTGTATGAAATAATCCAGATTTCTCAATGCATTTTGAGCCCTGGTGCTGTCCTACATGTGTGCTAATATCATGGTGTAGATGTGAGGTGTCCCCCACCTCACATCTAAATGTGACAATGCAAGAAGGTTCAAAGGAGAAATGATTAGGTTGTGAGAGCCTTAACCCAATTAGTGAATTAATCCCCTGATAGGGATTAACTGAAGTGATAAGGTATGGCCGGAGGAGGTGGGTGCCCTCCTACATCTTAATGTATAGACAAACTCTTAATCTCAGCTTTGAAGGCCATCAGGTCAGGCAAGCTCACTCTTACCCTTCATCACAAACAAAGGTCACTTTTGCTCCAAGCTGGAGATTCAGTGGAATTAGCACCTGGCCATTGGGGAGTTGGTCCAGGAAGTCATCACAGGATTTCACTAGGGAAAAAGAAAGCCAAAGAGAAATAATTGTAGTGTGTGGAGATTGAAGACACAAGCTAAAAATGTCAAGCCAGACAACCATCTAGGTACCTGCACACATGGGGGCAGCCGGACTCCAGTCTCCCTGAGGTGTGCAGCGCAGAAGAGCAGCTCCTAGGAGGTCATACCCAGGCTCACAGCTGTACAACACTTCCTGCCCAGGGGAAAACTGATCCTTATTGCTTAGAGTATGTACACCGTGCAGGATTTTTGGAGGTGGCTGACACACTGGGGAAAGAAAACCAAAGTGCTGTTAATTGTATGAAAGAATTTTTTCTCAATGGTGTACTGGCTAAAAGAATCATAACTAAGGTGGACTGACACCCTTATTTATTGATGGCAAAACACACACACACACACACACACACACACACGCACACACACACAACATGGTAGGTAGGTGTTTTACCAAAAGTCAAAAAACTTACACACTGCAGAACTGTAGCTAGAACTGATACTCAGATCACCGTTCTACCTTTGAAGTATACACCTAAGGCTACATGCACAGCACACAGTTCCTTCTAGAGTGCTTCCAATCTCTGTTCATCCAGAACAACATTATTAGGATTGACGGGTTCTTATATCTTCATACTTCCTTTCTAGAAAGGCACCCCCCTTGCAGTTTCACATTTTAGTGATAAAAGTGCCTGTGCCCAAGTCCCATCTAACAAATTTCCCCATCAGCAACAGGTTGCACACCTCTGTTCTTATGTCAAGTCTTCTCTCAGTGGTCACCTGACGTGACTGAGCATCTCCTCTCTACACTACATAGCTGGTGCTGCTTAGCCACTCATTTCATTCTGGTGAGAAGATGGACGAGCACTGAATAAAATCTTCTAAAGAACCCACAGTCATCATAACTAGAGTGCATATTGCACCCCAGGATAATGTAACTAAGCCTCTGGCTGTCTCTTCATACAATTGATTTGAACTCAGGGAATCCAGATGCATGTGGGTCTTAATGAAGTTAGATAACACTGCTATAAAATGTAAAAAAGAAAAAAAACCCCACCTTATTTCAATTTGGCTTTGAGTGGGTTGGTTCCACTCTGTGAACTTCAATTTTCTCCAGTGGGGGGACTGCCCTAGAAAACATGACTTCCTTAAGGACTTTACAAATATTCTGATGTTGTAATGTCCATTTTCAAGGCTCATCACCCTAGTTTTCCTTGACTAGTAGATGTACTGTGATGTGATGTTGAGGAGATGGGCTGGTTAAACTGTGCTTGACCCCAAACTTTACACTTTTTTTGTTTGTTTGTTGTTTGTTTTGGTACTGGGGAGTGAACCCAGGGTCACTTAACCACTGAGCCACATCCCCAGCCCTTTTTAATTTTTATTTTGAGACAGGGTCTCACTAAGTTGCCAAGGCCTCACTAAGTCATTGAGTTTGACCTTGAACTTGAGATCTTCTGCTTCACCCTCCTGCTGGGATTTTAGGCACGCGACACCATACCTGGCTTCACATTTCTATACTGTCTTTTTGTTGCCTGAAAGTCACAATCCTACGCTAGCTAGGCTGTGGTTTGTTCTGCCAATTGGAAGCATTTGCACCAAATTAAAAGTCAGGAGGATGACAAGCCATTCTACTTCTAGGGGTGGCTCCAGTAGTGGCGGCTTTGACAGCTCTTAGTATCAGCAATGCCAATGACCTTGGCTTCAGTAAGATCAGCTGCATCCTGGAAGCAGTGGTGGCACCTGCAGCAGCAGCAGGGGCTGCCCAATTCAACAGTGAGTGTGGGCATGTGTGCTCCAGTCCTGGAGTGACAGCAGCTTCCCAATCTCTGGGAACACTGCTTTCTTTTTCCTTTGCTCTTCCTGAATTTCCAACATCTTTAGAATTCAATTCCTCCATGAAAACCCTCATCCTTTGAAGAATCCAAAGTGGTTTTTGATTTCCTTAATGGATGATGAAGGCAGAGCCAAAGCTCTGGATACAGACAGACAGACTTGGGTTCAAGTCTTCAGTTTGCAAGCTCATATTTTGTTTCACTTTGAAAAGTTATCTAACCTCTCTAAGACCTGTTTTCTCTGTAAAACACGGAAAGAATAGTAATTATCTCATGGCTTTAAGTACTAAATATACACATAGCCTGTAATATGGCACCTGGCCAGATGAATCACTCGGTACATTTTAGCAATTATTAAACTCAAGTGAAATCATTAGAGGCTGGAGGTTAGAGGCTGCAGGTGGGGTAGTGATATCTGTAGAGAACTTCTGTTTGTAAGAATCCCAAGGGGGAGTGGTGGTTGGAGAATCTCAAAGAAATATCATATTCCTTGCTCAGACTGAGCTTTGCTTCCCAATATGAACATATGCGCATGTTTTCTCTCTCTCTCTCTCTGTCTCTCTCTCTCTCTGTCTCTCTCTCTCTCTCTCTCTCATACACACACACACACACACACACACACACACACACACATACACACTTTTATTTCATGTTCCCTCCCAAGAAAATTTACTTATCCAAGAAAATGCACCACACATCCCTCCTCCAGAGCACACATTAATCTCCCAGTCCACCAACAACTCATGCCCTTGAGGTCCCTCCCAAGCTCAGCCAGACTCACCCCTGGAGCAGCTTGGTAACTCTGGCTCCCATTTGTTTAGATTCTGGCACCGCACACGGTTGGGTCCTTTCATGACAAAGCCAGGCTGACATCCAAACTCCACCATTTCATTTAAGGCAAATAAGCTTCTGTTTTCAGTTAGCATTATTGCATTTTCAACGTGTGGAGGGGTGCATTTATTAGGTACGATGCACTGTGGGGGAGGGCCGCTCCAGACGCCAACTTGATTGTCATGGCTGGTGCAGTATATGGAGGGCTCTCCCACGAGGTGAAAGAGCTTTCTCCCTCTGTCTGCATTATTGCAGTGATAGGTCACCACCATTCCGTACAGGAAATATTCTCTGTTAGAGCTAACAAAATCTCCATTGGCAATGGCTGGAGGTGGCTCACAAGGAATTCCTGGGCAAAAGGAGAACAAGCTAAATGAGAATGAATTTAAATAATGAGTGAGAAAAAATGTAATGACTCACTAACTTAACTATTTTTACATTCATTATCTGCTTTTTATCTTTGCTAATGTGTAAATGAGTTCTTACACAGTTTAACTTTAGGTGGGCAAAATAGCATCTGTGCTACCTTTTCTGTGTATGTCCTGTAAAATGCACATTTTTTATTAATACAATCCACCCTCTTTTCATTTTAAATAGTTATTTATCATATTAGAGTTTACATAGTTTTCCTGTTTCCAACTTGCTTCATTAATTTCTATTTTTGTTGTTAATTGRGTATGGCTTTTTTAAAATATAAAAACGTGTGCTAAAAGAAGAAGCATAAAAGAAGAGAGAAAACACACATATATGAGAGTAGGRAATAGAATATGAATATATTTATAACATATGTGAGTATTTATGAAGCTGTAGACTACTGTATGTTAAACATTTTGAAAATCTAAATGATATAAATTATCAAAATCCATTCAAAAAGATATAGTAAGCTACAATTGGCCAAGAAACTTGTAAGAATAAAAGAAAAAAAATGACAGATAAGTTCTACCAAACTTTCAAGAAACACATACTTCTAAATGTAACTCCAAACATTTCACACTACCTAAAAGATAGAAACCTTATCAATTCTCTTTATCAAGCCTAAGTTTGAGAACATATCTATGTAAACGTGATCATATATTTGTTCACTAAAGCCCCTAGGTACATATAAAATATAGAATTTATGCAGAGTCTATTGTATTGCTATAAACTAGGACTAAATAACTTCAACCAATACCCTAAAACACTTGAAATGAAAAATTGAAATTCTCAAGAAGGTTTCTGCTTCTGTAGTGGTCATGTCAATAATTTGAATCAAACAATGCTTCTTCTCTCCCCCCGAAGAAAGGTTAGAAATGCTGGAAATTAAAAATATGTATCTGTGAAGCAACAGAGGCAAACAAAATGGCAAAGCATTGATGGCCCAGAGCTGAATATCTAGGTATGAGCTGAGCATTTGGGTTGCTTTTCCCTTGGGAAGAGGCAGGTGAATCAGGAGGAGGCAACTGAGAGGCCATGTAGACTTTTGATAGTCTTGCAAAATCAAGGGACAAACATTACAGTTCTGGGATGACAAAGAACTAAGCATTTGGGAATTGAAGTTAATTGAAAGTAAACTTGTGCTCTCAAAAACTGAAACTATTCTTCCAGTACTGTAGGTGGCCTAGAAAAATCATAGTTCCTGAGACTGAATAAAAGCGGCCCCAGGTTGCTAGTGTTCCCTGGTGCCTGGCAGAGGAAAAAAATAAAAAAAAATAATAATTTTTTAAAAAAGTGTGATTACTATGTCTTGGATATGGTTAATATCTCCTAAAGGAACAAGTGTCAACGGCTTGGTATACTGGGCGGGTCCGTTGCAGTGGAACCTCAGGGAGGCAGGGTGTAGTGTGGGGTCCTTAGGTCATTGGGGGGGTGTGCCTTTGAAGGGGATTATGGCACCTCAATATCATCCTCTCTCTTTTTAGTTCACTGGCTCATGATGTATGCGGTTTTGTTGTGTTACGAGCTCTGCCTTGATATGCTGCATCTTAAAAGGCCCAAAGCAATGGCTCTACTCATCATGGACTAGAACCTTCAAAACTGAATCAAAATAAATCTGTTGACTTATAAGTAGAAACCTCAGGTATTTCATTATAGTTATGGAAAGCTGACAAATAACATTATCTAAGACCTTGAAATTATTGAAGACTTTGAAAATACTTCTGCAGACAAGTTTCCAAGTATAATTCCTGATACGAAGTAATATATAATCAGGTACTTGCAGAGATAAAATAACCTGAATAAGAACCAACAAAATCAATGTTGCTAGAAATTAATCCAAAAGGGCTATAGACATTGGAGTTTTCATTTACAGATTTAAAATAACTGTGTTTACCTATTCAAGGATATAACATACAAAATAAACTTTTGATAGGCGCTAAAAACTGTTAAAAAGAACAAGAAAAATTTAAAAAGAACCAAATAAAAATTTAAAAATTGCAAAATACAATTTCTGAAATATTGATAGCACATTAGACATAGTTTAAGAAAAAACAGTGAACTGGAAACTAAGCCAGAAAAAAAAATACTCAGAACAAAACACAAAGAGATGAAAAGATAGAAAAATAGAGAAAAAATAGTAGGAGACCAGTAGGGATACAGCCTAACATCATGTACGTGGTGTCTTACAGCCAGAGGGGATAGCTAATAGCACACACAACATTTAAAGAAGTAATGAGTAAGAATTTTCCAAAACTGATGAATGATATCATCAAAATAGATTCAAAAAGCCACACAAGCCCAAGAAATACAAATTCAAAGCAATCCCTACTTAGACACATCATAGGAATATTATAAAATCAAGTACAAATGGAAATGCTTTTTATATTGATTGTATTAGTGACATGCATGTCAAAACTGATTAAATTGCATACTTCAAATATGTGCATTTTATTGTACTTCAATTTTACCTCAATAAAGCTATGGGAAAAAATGCAGATACAATAACATTATGGTAGAAATTTAAAAAATATCAAATACAATCAACCATAAGGAAACAGAGATGATAATCTTCAAAGGAAACAAAATTAGGAAAACGTTTAAAGAACGATTACTAGAAGACTCACAATACAAAAATGCCAAAAGGATTTCTTCATACTGAAGGAAAATTAACATAGTGTTGAGAGCCACAGCCAAAGGGGCCCCAGCAAACTTCTAGCTGCCAGCAAACTTCCAGCTGCCAGCTGATGATTGGCTCACAGAGGCCCCAGCAAACTTCTAGCTGCCAACTGATTGGCTCCTCTGCGGTGATGCTCATTGGGCTGTTTCTCCACCCTTTCAGACCACGGAGCTGCTCATTGGGGGACTTTTTTGGGCTCTGCCCATGTGACCCTGCCAATCAGCCTCAAGAGCAGGAGGAGTGGGGGAGGCTGAGAGGCTTGTGGGAAGCCGGTGGTGGCAGTTGGGCTCTGAAGGTTTTTCCTGAGGAGCTGTGTGGTTTGGTGTGTGTGTTCTAAAAATAAAGTTCATTTCTTTTGACAAGTGGCTTCTGAATTGTGCCCAGCCAGACTTCGGGTGCAATAATGAGGGAACACACAAGAAAGAGCTCATATGTGGGTATTTAGAGTTTTAATTTAGGATCTTACAGAAGTAGAGCACCCTTTCAATGATTAAGATTGACACAAGTTGTAAATAAAGATTTTATTACTTATAGGCCCTTGGGACACATGGTATAGCCCAAGGTTACACAGAGATAAGTTTTTATGATGAGAGGGGGAGACCTGTGGATCAAAATCTACCGAGATCCAGGGTGTGACCCAAGCAAGTTTCTCATGAAGGGTTCTTAATTAGTGGGCTTAATTAGCAGGCCCAAATTCTAGGAGGTCATGCTAAGAGTGAACCTTCATGATCATGATAATGTGACACTGTAGTATTCAAGGAATACCCTATATGAATCAAATGTATGATAGGTCAGGATCATTGTATTGTTTTGAGCAACTAATTAAAAAAAAAAGCAATAACAAGAAAAAAAATAAATGGTATTAGGTCAATGGCTGATCCACTTGGAAAAACAAACAAAACCCCAAATCTTGGCCATGCTACACATTATCCATATATAAAAAAATAAAATAAAATTGAGCTGAATCCCAGACTTAAACATGAAAAACCCAAGTTTCTAGAGTATAACAAGGGAAAATATCTTTATAACAGGTAAAGGTTTTTAGAGGACAGCAGAAAAAGGCAGTCACTAGAAAAGAAAAATTCATAAACTGAACACTATTGAAATGTAGAACTTCCATCATTAAAAATCAATAAGAAAGTAAAAAGAAAAGCCATAATCTAAAAGAAAATTTCGGTTACATTTATTGGGAGATATGAGAATACACAAAGAGCTTCTACAAAATTAAAAAAAAAGATGAACTAATCAATAGTAGGCACAAGGTTTGAATAAGCACTTCATTAGCATATGAAAAGATATTCAGCATTGTAAGTCATTAGGAAAATGCAGATTATTTTGAGCCATTTGAATAGATGTATCATATTCTCCACTGAAATAATAATCAAATTGATTGGACTACAGAGTTCTCCAACACTGGCCAATTGACCACAGCATGTTTTTGGTCTGTGTAAACAGAGAGCTGGGTCTAGTGAATAGAAGTGTGGCTTCAATMGTTGCAAATGAGAGTTGTAGCTGGGTGTGGCAGTGCATGCACGCCAGCAATTCCAGTGGCTGGGGAGGCTAAGGCAGGAGGATCGTGAATTCAAAGCCAGCCTCAGTAAAAGCGAGATGCTAAGCAGCTCAGKGAGACTCTGTCTGTAATTAAAACACAAAATGGGCTGGGGATGTGGCTCATTGGTCGAGCGCTCCGAGTTCAGTCCCAGTACCCACCCCCGCACAAAAGAGAGAGTCATGGTTCATTAAGCAAACCCCAGACTTGAGCTAGTTCACAGTCTAGAGCAGTTCTAATGAATGGGAGACTGGATCTGCTCCAAGACGCACATTACTACATGCATAACCAAAACTTCAATATTAAGTCTCTTTCTATCTTTCTCTAGGGGGACTTGAAGCTGTTTTTTTGGAGTTCAGTTATTAGAAAATAAATAAAAAAATATAGATATAAGTATATATTTTTATCTTTTAATGAGATCTTACCATACATGTGGTCTGTCTTCTGATTCTTCTTCATATGAAATATACATCTTTGTACATCAAGGGCTTCTCTGTGAGAGGTATATTTTTTATGGTTGTATAACACTCCAGTGTATGGATATTCATTCTGTATCTGCATGGCTATTTTATGTTTCTCAGGAAATTCTTTATAGTCATTTTTAACATATCATTTCCTTGCAGTACATTATTTATAAACCATGATTTGAAACATGCCATGCATTTGGGTTACTATAACATTTTTACTAAATTTAACATTTATTATAAAGAATGCTGTAATCAAAAGTCTATAGTGAACTCCTTGAGAAAAATCTATTATATCATAAGTATAAMTCCTAAAATGTGGGTTAAAATAAATTCCCACTTAGAGGTGTATAGGGCATCATGCATTTCAAGAAGTTTTGTTGAATCCTCAGTCCATGAGAATGTGGGTCCACTGTAGCTTCACTAACCTTGAAGAACAAATATTTTAAGGTCTCTACTAATTTTCCAAGCAGAATGATTACTATATTGGAGACTGTGAACCAGTATAATTACAAATTAATTGCATAAAAAATATGATTAGAAGTTTTTTGTTTTTTTTTTTAATGCCTTGAAGACCCCAATTTAGAAAAGGCACTTCTCAGGTTAAGGGATCATTTAAGGAAGAAGTTGCCAAGAATCCCGTAGGAGAATCTGACAGCATTACAGTGTCTTCAGTCCTCTCTAGGACAGAATGAACAAAGGGCAGTTGTTGAAGACTTTTATAATTCCTTGCAGGACTCAAATGTAGTCCAGCAGAAAAGCACTTACCTAGCATGTGGGGGGACCTGGGCTCCATTCTGCACCACAGTAAATAAAAATGACAATTCCAGAGGAATCTAATTGTAAAAGTGATAGAAAGGAATATCTCAACTCACTTTCACAAATAGGTGCTTCTTCATCCCAAACAACAGTAGTGTCTGAGATCACGCATTGAGCGCTGGAGGCGCCAATGAGTCGGTACCTAGAAGCAGAGAATAAGGAATGTTACTTATTAAAAACAGAGGAAATCTATCTGCTTCAATTGCTCCTTCCCAGAGGTTACAATCTTGAAACTTCAGGACATTTTCAGGAAATAGAGAAATTTATTTAACTTGAAAGTTTTAATGCTATAACTGTATTTCTTCCTTCCTTTCTTTTTAAATACCATAACATCAACATTTTTGTTTTATTCTACAAATAAAAATAGTACGTTTTTTTATAAATAACACATTTTGATATATTTCTACGTTGAGAAGTGATTAAATCAAGCTGGTTAATATTTCTGTCATCTCATATATCTACCATGTTTTTTTATGAGAACATTTAAGACCTTTTCTCTTTCGAGTTTTCCAGTATACCTTGTTATTGACTGTAATCACCATGCTGTATGACAGATTGCCATAATTTATTCAACCAAACTGAAACTATGTACCCTTCGATCAGCCTCTCCCTGTCCTCTTTCCTTCCAAGGCCCTGGCAACCTGCTCTGCTCTGCTATTACAAGTTCAATGCCTTTACGTTTTACACGTAAGATCACGTGGTATTGGCTCTTTTCATGCTATTTTGATGGTTATGGCTTTGTAGTATATTTTGAAATCAGCTATGGAGTCCCAGCTTTGATTTTTTTGTGTGTAAGACTGGTTTGTCTATTTGTGTTTTTCTGTTTGTTTGTCATTGTATTTCCATATGAATATTAGGATTGTTTTTCTATTGGGAAAATGTCATTGGAATTTTGAGAGGCATTGTGTTGAATTTGTATGGAAATTTTAACAAAATTAATTACTCTCATCCATGAATACAATATACCTTTCCATACATTTTTGTCTTCTTCAAATTTTTCATCAGTGTTTATAGTTTTCAGTGTACAGATCCTTCACTCTCTTGATTAAATTTATTTGTAAGTATTTCATTGTATTTTTGGTGCTCTTGTAAATGGCATGATTTCCTTGGTTTCATTTTTTTGATATTTCATTGTTAGTGAACAGAAATGCTACTTTTTTTTTGTATGTTGACTTTGTACCCTGCAACTTTACTGAATTTATTAGTTCTGATAGTTTTTCAGTGAAGTTTTTAGGATTCTGTCTATATAAGAGTGTAATCTGCACAAAGAAAATTTTGCTTCTTTCTTTCCAATTTTGGATGTCTTTTAATTGCTCTGGCTATAGTATATTAAATAAAAGTGGTGAGACTGGACAAACCTTGTGTTCCTGATCTTAGAAAAAAAAAACATTCAGCTTTTCACTACAGAGTATGATATTAGCTATGGGCTCGGCTATATGTAGCCTTTTTCTATACCTAATTTGTTGAGGGTAGCCTTTTTCTATACCTAATTTGTTGAGGGTTTTTGCTATGAGGAGATACTAAATTTAGTCTGATGCTTTTTCTGCATCTGATGAAATGATCATATTATTCAAACCCTTAATTCTGCTAATGTGGTATATCACATTTGTTGATTTATGCATGTCAAATCATCCTTGCATTTCAGAGATAAATCCCACTTGATCATGAAGTATGATACTTTTTATGTCCTGTTGAACTGTGTTTGTTAGTATTTTGTAGAGAATTTTTGCATTGATGTTCATCAGGGAAAGTGACCTGTAATTTCTTCTTCTTGTTAAGTAGTAGTGTCCTTGTCTGGGTTTGGTATTAAGGTAATGTTAGCCTCATAAAATGAGTTTGAAAATTTCCGTCATCTCCAATTTTTTGGACAAATTTGAAAAGTGCTGTTGTTAATCCCTTCTTTAAATGTTTGGCAGAATTCACCAAGAAAGCCATCAGATTCTTAGCTTTTATTGGTTGGGAATTTTGATTACTAATTCAAACACCATACTTGTTATTGGTATGTCCACATTTTCTATTTCTTCATGATTCAGCTTTGATAAGAAAATGGATTTATCCACTTTTTTTCTGGGTTTTCCAATTTGTTGGCATGTACTTATTAAGAGTAGTCTCATATGATCTGTTGTAGTTTTGTGAAATTAGTAGTATGTTCTATATTTCATTTATAATTTTATTTGGGTATTTTTTTTTCTTAGTCCAACTAATATTTTTTTGGTTTATCTTTTAAAAATCAATTCTTAGTTTCTTTGTTCTTTTCTGTTTTGTATGCCCCTGTTTCATTTCTTCTGCTCTTCCTTATATCTGCTGACTTTGTTCATTTTTCTAGTTTCTTGAGGTTATATAGATGGTTGATTTTTTTTTCTTTCAGTTCCAGCAATCAAACCTAGGGTCTTATGTATGCTAAGAAAGTGCTCTACCAGTGAGCTACATCCCAAGTCCATCTTCCTTCCTTC